AATTATGTATTAAAAATACAATTTAAAATACAAATTAAATAAACCTTCTGATAAATATTTTATTTTCAAGGATGGGAACAGTGGAACGAAGTTCAAAGTTGAACCCATTAAAATACGACAAAGATGCTTCTAGAAACCATGGGAACGCTCCTATTCGTCTACGATGATCTAACGAATCCGCCTTTCGCAATATCCAATCCAACAACTTTATTCTCACTGTCCTTGCCATAATTAACCATCACAGACCAATTATCACTAAGAGGTACAACAGAAGCCGTCGTACTTGACCTGCCTGTCTCTCTCTGATTAAATCACAACCGTTGGAAATTACGAACGAACTCAATTTAATTTAAAAACTGTAGGGGGACGGTGCAAGTACGTCCACGTCATAAACCAGAAGCCAAAAATGCGCTCGGCCTGTTCTCGATTACTGGGCCGGCCGTTTCTGTGACACGTGGCACTTCATAACTTGGGAGGACGGTTTGATATTAAAGAGCTCTAGTGGGCTCCAAACCCTTTTCAATGAATTTATAATAATTCATTTGTAATAAAAATTTTATTAAAATAAATTTTATTTTTAATACTAATACCATATAAAATATTTAAATTTTTTTAATTATTTAAAAGTATATTTATTATTATTAATTTATATGAAAATAAAAATTAATTTAAAATTAATTAATTAATTTATATGATATTAATATTAAAAATAAAATTTATGTTCATAATTTTTTTATATAAATTAATAATAAAAAATATAATTAATATATTTTAAAAATACAAATTAAAAAACAAATACTTTAATTGAAAAAATAATAAAATTATAAATAATGTTTTATTACATAAATTAATAATAATAAAAAATGTACTTCTAAGAGCTTAGATTGAAAAGTTCTAAAAATAAAAGTGAAAAGCCAAAGTTCTAGCAATGAAAATGAAAATGGAGCAAAAAGGAAATTTAACTTGCATTTGCATTTCATTTACATTCCGCTTTTCAATTTTGAAATGAAAAAAGACCTATAAAAGGAAGGCGGAGCAAATGGAGGAGCTCCATATGCCTTACTTTTTGACTTATAAAATAAAACCCATTAATGAGAGAGAGAAAGCAAACGCAAAAAAGTCTGGCTTTCCTTCTTTCTTCTTCTTGGTTTTGTGGTTAAGGAAACAGAGATTGTTGGAGACATTCAGTTTTGGGTTTTGCAAGGTATTTGGTAAGTTATTCCTTGGTGGTGGAATGATGTTCTCGTTGTTCTGTTTGGTTAATGAGAAAGTGGGTGGAAAAGGAGTGTTGGGGGTTTTACTTTTATGTTAGTATGTTTGGAGTAGTGGTGAATTTTTACATTAGTAGTTCCATTTTTTGTTTTGGTGGGGGGCGCTTTGTTTTAGCAGATTTCTGTTTCTCGTTTGTTTAATTCTGGGATATAGTTCATTGGTTTGGAGTTCATAATATGTGTAAAGATTGTAATTTTATTCATGATTTCAATATATAGCAGAAGTTTTATTCTCTCCTTGTCTTGAATTCATTTTCTTCTGAGGCTATATAGTGTTACCTTTCTGCCCCTTACCCCGTTCATGTGTATTTGGGTATGTAGGTTTCTATATTTTTATGTTGATTTTATCACTTTTTTTGCATTTAATTTGTTGAGTCAGTAACTTTTTTGCGATTCTTGAAAGGAAGTTGATGAAATTCCCTTCTTTTTTTCTTTTTTTCTTTTGCGATTTTGTCAGAAACAGGAAGAAACTTTCTATGTGCAGTGGTTCCAAGAGGAAACCAACTCAATCTGGGTTTGTAATGGAGGGCGAAGCTCCTAAACAGGACGGATTTTTAAAAAAATTTCCTCTTTTGCATGAGCTATCGGCCTCGGATGATCTGATTGGCTTCAAGAGAGCGGTTGAGGAGGAGGGTCGTGATATTGACGAGCCAGGCTTATGGTATGGCCGGAGAATGGGTTCAAAGAAGATGGGTTTTGAAGAAAGGACACCCCTTTTGATTGCTGCCATGTTTGGTAGCAAGGATGTTTTGAGTTATATCATTGAAAGCGGTCGTGTTGATGTAAATAGGGCTTCTGGGTCAGATGGTGCGACTGCACTTCACTGTGCTACTGCTGGTGGCTCTCCTGCTTCTCCTGAGGTTGTCAAGCTCTTGCTTGGTGCTTCTGCTGATACCAATTCTGTTGATGCTAATGGGAACCGGCCTGCTGACTTGATTCTACCGGCTTATAATTCTGCTTTCAGTTCAAGGAAGAAGGTGTTGGAGATTTTGCTGAAAGGCAGTACCAGTGTTGGTGAAGCTGATGGTTTGCCTGATCCACTGGGTAATGAAGTGGAGGGGTCAGAACAGATTGAGACTCTTACACCAAGGACATCAAAAGAAGGGGCTGAGAAGAAAGAATATCCTGTTGATCTTACCCTTCCAGACATAAAAAATGGAATATACGGGACAGATGAATTTAGGATGTATACTTTCAAAGTCAAGCCTTGCTCAAGGGCTTATTCTCATGACTGGACAGAATGCCCATTTGTTCATCCTGGGGAGAATGCCCGGAGGCGTGATCCCAGGAAGTATCATTATAGCTGTGTCCCGTGCCCAGAATTTCGGAAAGGGTCTACTTGCAGGCAGGGCGATAATTGTGAATATGCACATGGTATTTTTGAGTGTTGGCTTCATCCTGCCCAGTACAGAACACGTCTCTGCAAAGATGAGACTAATTGCACTCGGAGGGTATGTTTCTTTGCTCACAAGCCTGAGGAGCTTAGGCCATTGTATGCTTCAACAGGTTCTGCCATGCCTTCTCCAAGATCATATTCAGCTAGTGCTTCTTCCCTGGACATGGGTTCAATAAGCCCCCTTGGTCTTGGTTCTCCATCCATCATGATTCCTCCTTCATCAACACCACCCTTGACCCCTACTAGTGCCTCTTCTTCCGTTGGTGGTGCCATGTGGCAACAGCCAAATATCGCACCTCCTACTTTGCAACTTCCTGGCAGTAGGTTGAAAACCGCATTAAGTGCTAGGGATATGGATTTAAATTTGGAATTAATCGGGCTGGAAAATCATCGCAGACGGTGGCAGCAGCAGCTAATTGATGAGTTATCTGGTCTTTCTTCCCCATCTGGTTGGAAGAACCCTTTGTCCACTCCTACAGCCTTTTCAGCCTCTGCTGATCGAACTGGTGAATTGAATCGGCTTGGAGGAATGAAGCCGACTAACCTTGAAGATATTTTTGGCTCCCTAGACCCTTCTATTTTGCCTCAATTACAAGGAATCTCACTTGATGGTACAGCCCCTCAGCTGCAGTCTCCAACTGGTATGATGCTCCAGAATATTAATCAGCAGCATCGTTCTAGCTACCCAACCAGCCTCTCATCATCTCCTGTAAGGGCCTCTCCATCCTTTAGCATGGATCCACCTGGGGCTGCGTCAGCTGCCTTTGCAAAACGTAGCCAGAGCTTTATTGAGCGAACGGCTGTGAATCGTCATTCTGGATTTTCTTTGCCAGCTTCTTCAGCAACTACAGCTCATTCTAACCTTTCAGACTGGGGCTCCCCTGATGGTAAATTGCACTGGGGCATACAGGGAGAAGAGCTGAACAAACTAAGAAAGTCTGCTTCTTTTGGATTACGAAACAACGGCAGCAATTTTGGTAATGCTGCAGCCTCCATGCTACAAACTGATGATGAGCCGGACGTGTCTTGGGTTCAGTCCCTTGTGAAGGACACTCCTCCAGCCAGGCAGTTTAGTTCTGATGAGCAGCAGCAGCAGTGTCATCTTAACACCAGAGGCTCTGAGATGCCCCCTTCTTGGGTGGATCAAATGTACAGCGAGCAGGAGCAGATGGTGGCTTAACCAAAATCGGCCCCCCACCATTATCTCCTAATTTTAACCTTATAATAATTACTTTTCTTTTTGCTATTTTTTGAATTATTATCAAAATTTATCATTGAAAAGTGCAAGGGAAATGGAGAGGGGAAAGCTGTATACATCTATGGAGAATACCGAGTTTTAGCAGAATAAAAGGTTTCTGGTAAAACAGTTTTAGGCACTTCTCAGGAATAATAGCCATCAATCTGATTTATGTAGTTCAATATTCTTTCCAAGATTAATTATAAACTTCATTTGCATGTACTGAAAGCTATTGTGCTCAAGAATGAATTCTGCTTTATTTTAATTAGTCTCCTTAGATCATGCATCTAGTTTGCTCTCATGCCCTAATCATAATTTTGTTTCCAAGTGGGAAAGGATGCAAGTGGATGTTGCATCTTCCAGCTTCCGCATGCATTTCTCTGACAGCTGAGTATCCGCACTCATCAATGGATCTTCTAGTAGGGTGGCAATGGCATGAATTCCATCTCTTTACTTTGCTTTAATGTTAGTACCTCTTTTCACTGTCAGTCCTAAGTCAACTCATTTTTTTTTTCTTCGAATCTTTCTGCATGCTTTGCTCACTGCCATTGAGAAAGTGAGGTTCACTAACGCCATGATTGTAAGTGGGACTGATTGTTGAGCACTAACAAAAAGGCAGAATTTAGAAGTGGAATCCACACTAGAATTAAAGGAAGGCTGTAAATTCAGACAACCATGGATGTTGTGTGGTATAACAGTACAGAGGAGGAGACCAAACGTTGGAAGAAAACAAGAACAGGAATTTGGAAGAGTCAGGACCATTTTGGTCCCCTTTCTTTGGATTGGTAGGACTAGCTCATGGTTCTATGTTGACTTGCTGGCCGCCCAGCGGACAGCAGCTGAATCTTTTAGTATTTGGGTTTTAGGAAATTATTTTTACTTAGTGGTGACAGACTAAAAGCTGACATCTGTTGAGGATTCCAATCAATGCATTTTCTAAAACGTTAACCAGAAGTAGCAATTGGACCCAAGAGCTACTATTGTTTAGTCTGTTTTAAAAGGCCTCGTTTGGGCTAGGTATATAGTATTTATATGACTACCACTGGTTGAGTGTTGATAACTAAAGCAATATTCAATTAGTAATTATCAATAAGAATTTAATTGAATTAATATTTAAGATTAAAATTAGAGGTTTAAAGTTTTCTAATATTAAGTAATTAATCTTCTAATATACCCAAAAAAGAGTCAATAAATAATTATTTGTAACTAATATTTGGTTATACTATTAATTAGAATATCAAATTACTATTATAGATACATTTCATTTTGGATGAATTTTGATGCCTTTTTAATTATTAGTTTTATAACAAGAGAAAAGTTTCTCACAATAAATCAATCAAAAAAATTATAACACTTAGATGTAAATACAAAATTTTTGAGTGTAGATATGAGATATTTGAATAAATTTACTGTAATTGTTCGAACAACATCTTTTTCATCAGTTTAAATTGAAAAATTACTAACTTTTACAACATCAATAATACTCCACAGCAAAAATTGTTCGAATTGACATTTGTCTTTTTCGAATGCAAAAAATAAGGACCAGGGCAATAATAATAAATTCTAAAACAAATATAATAAAAAGCAAACATGAGAGCAAAACCCTAAAAAAAAATAAAAATAAAATAAAACTAGCCAAATTGTCTTCTACTTTATGCGTCCCATGTCACTTCACTTGGCTTTTGTCACCCTTTAAGCACCAGACCTTAATACTTCATGGTACTTATTTTATCATTTGAATTATAAAATATAAGTGTCTTAATCAAAGAAAACTTTTAATATTAAATTAT